TGGAAAGAGTCAGAAACATTTTAATAGTAGTTTTTTTTGGGTAAATTATAAATACACTCATTAATATTTGATTAAAATATGAATCGTCTCCTGTAGTTTTGGAAATTACATTCCACCACCTAAGATTTCTAATTTTATAATAAATCGCTCATTTTATTAATAAATTATCAAGTCAATTAACAGGTTTTAATGATGTTAGAAATACGTTTCAATTAATAATTTAGGTAATTTATTATTGTATAGAAAAGCAATTATGAATTTAATTTTTTTAGTTAATTTTGTTAAATAAAAAATACTAATAAGGATGTATTTGTAATTTTTTAAATCACAGAGAATAATCTGTACTTTAAGCAGACCTCAAGGGGTGTATTTGTAATTTATCCTTTTATTTTATTTTATTTTATTTATTTTATATATATATATATATATTAGATAGGTTAAAAAGAGAGGCAACATTTTAATAGTAGTTAATGAATTTGTTTCATAATACGGTAACTAATTTAAAAGGTCTAATTTTCAATGTAAAAGCTATACAATTTTTTTTTTTAATCTCGAAACCAATGTGAGTGTTTGGTTTGAATTTTTTGGATTAAGTTTTTTGAAAATTTTAATTTTATATTTTTCATATTTTTTTAAAAATTTTAGTGAATATTTTTAAAATGTTAAGCATTTTTTTTTATGTTTTTAAATGTATCTTACTTAGATGTATCTAAAAATTAAAAAATTTGTAAAAACATATTTTTAAAAAATAATAAATACATAAAATATGAAAAATATACTGAATTCTCATTTTTTATTTTTATTTTTGGTATTTAGTAAATTTTTAAAAGATTTTTTTACAAAAATTATATTTTTTATGTGTATTTATGTTAGGTGTGTCTAAAAATTAAAAAAAAAAATTGCTTAAAATATTAAAAAAATTCAGTAAAAAAAAATACGAAAAATCAAAAAGTAAAATTTTTAAAAAAAGTGTTTTTGGAAAACCAAAAACAACCAAACTTAACAATAAATTGTATAAATATATCACTTTTGAAGGCAGCCTAGAGGAGTCTACAGACGGTAAATGTGATATTTTTATAATTGAGAAGATCAAAATGTACAAATTCATTGATAAAAATAATAAATACAGAGCTGCTAGGTAGCTCGAAAACTAATTGGCCCGAATGGCTCGATTTTCCCAAACGACCACGATTTGACTTTTTTTTCTTTCCCTCTTGCTTCATCTTCTTTCTTCCACTGGGCAATCTAAAAAATTAAAGAAGAAGAAGAAGAGCCCCAAAAAATCAAACAGTAACAAAATCTGAGAAAAAATCAAAATCAAAATCTAAAATCAAAACCAATTGGTTTTTTTCCCCTCTTTGCTTCCTCTTCTTCCTTCCCCTTGGGCAATCTGAAAAATTAGCGGAGGAAGAAGAAGAAGAAGAAGAGCCCAAAAAAATCAAACCTAAAATCTAAATCTAAATCTAAAATCAAAATCAATTTCAACAGAAAAATCAGCAGAACAAAAAAAGAAAGAAGAAGAAAAATAGCACTAATTTCAGCAAAAAAAAAAAACAGCCCAATTTCAGCACAAAAACGGCCCCAATTTCATCACCAAAAAGCGCCAATTTCAGCATCAAAACAACACCAAAACAGCAGCAAAACAGTAGCAATTTAGCAAAAACAAGACCAAAACATTAATTTCTTCTCCTCCTCTCCTCCTTCTCTTTCTCCCTTCCTCCTTTATTTCGTCTCTTCCTCTACTATTTCTCTATCTCTCTGTTTTGGTTCAACTTTTGAGTGGAAGGGATTAAAGGAAAAGAAAAAAAAGTCAAAATGTAGTCGTTTCAGAAAATCGAGCCATTCGGGACAATGGCTTTCGAGCTACAACGCATTTTCCTAATAAATAATACTCATTAATAATTAAGAGATCTCGGTATAAAAGAAGGAGAGATATTTTCTAGTTACCAACTTAACAGTGAGAAGGACGATGTCGTTTTGCTTCATGATTGTCGGCTTTTTGCAGTTTGAATTTAACGTGTGGTTACCAGCATTTAAAAATAAAATTAGAAATAAAACATTATTATATCCAATAAGAGTACATGCTTGAGACACCTATTTTAAATTGCAAAAACATTGTACCTATTTGGTAGAGTTGTGAGTAAGTGATTCTAAATTATAACTTAACAGGTTATAGATTATAACTTTAAACATAAACTATTAACCTGTTTGGTACAGCTGTGAGATTATAAATTTAATCAGTAGAGTAGTGTTTGGTTGAATAAGCTGTAAAATAACTTTTCATTGTGTAATGTCTTTTTTACCCTTATAAGATATAAAAATTGTTATTTTTATTTTTTATTTTTTTAGTTTTAATTTTAAAAAATTTATTTCATTAATTGTGAAATAAATTGTGCAATTTATTTAATTTTGTTTAATTTATTAATTCATTACAATTAATATAAATTAATATTCATGTATTTTGTTTCATTTATATCAATAATTTTTTTCACTACAATTAATAATATAAAAATTGTTATTTTTTAATTTATTAATTCATTACAAAATATACCAATTAATATTTCTTTTCTTTTTTTTTCTTTTCTCTCCTCTTTCATCCGTATGCCGCCGGTGGTCCGCAATCCTAGCCACCGCCGTGATCTGGAATGGCAGAGAGGGAGAGACGACGACAGTTGATCACGATGACAGCGACTCTGGTTCAGATCGCAATGCGTAGGTTTTTGCCTTGAGGTGGCGATGATGTCGACTCTGGTTAGGGCTGTCAATTGCGAGCTAGGGTTGTCGATTGCGAGCTAGAGTTGATCGTCATTGCGATCGCGATGCTCGAGAGAACATCATCGATCATGATAAATGGCTTGTAGTGGTGACGGCGATAGTGCTAAGGTTTTGCTTCCTCTTCAGATCGTGATGAGAGAGACAGAGAAAGAGAGCGAAAAGAGAGATCGCGAAGAGAGAGAGAGAGAAGAGATTTGGTTTGTGATAGAGAGTGTACTCTGGTTTGTTTGCGGAAATTGCCTCGCGATCGCGACGAGACAGAAAGAGAGAGAAGAGAGATCGTGATGAGCATTAGGGACAAACTCATCTTCTCTGCTTTCCTCTTTTATCTTTTCCGGCATCATCGGAAATCGCCCCTCTCATTTTGTGAGAGGGAGAGAATAAGTGTGTTTTTGTTTGTATACCTGGTAGACTTGTAATAACTTGAAAGCGTGAAGGGCATTTAAGTCTTTTTATCCTTGACATTCAGCTTGCCGCTTATACTGAAAAAAATAAGCACCTTCTCCTCCACTCAACTAAAAAGCTCATTTTCCACTTATAAAAAGCTATAATCTACACCATTAAGCCAAACAAAACACACCAAAATAGCTTAAATTAAATTAAAAGCTGAAATAAGCTGAAAATAAACCCTACCAAACAGGGCTTTTGGGGGTGTTTGTTTGAATTCTTTGAGCCAATTTATAGCTTTTAGCTTTGGAAAAGCTATTTTAGACTGTTTGGTTAAACTTATTTCAAATAGTTTTTGATTCTAACAATTTATTTTTAACTCAAAAAAGCTGATTCTAAAAAGTTGCTCACCACTTACTTCTGATTATCAGTTTCTAATATGGACATGTTAATTTATGGTTATATTTTTAGATTTATTTTTTTATTTTTTTTAAATAGAAAAAGACTCAAATGGACTGGAGATTATTATTATTATTTTTTATGAGAAATGCAGACAAGTAGTGAATAATATAAAATAAAAGTTAATTGAAAAAGTTATTTCACAGCTTATTTAACAAACACTACTCAGCAACTTAAATCTATAATCCAACAGTTACACCAAACAGATTAATAGCTTCTGATTAAAATTGTAATCTATAATTTGTTAAACTATAATTTATAATCTGTTTTAACAGTTACACCAAACGGGATCTTTATACAATTTCATGAGGGAAACAGTATTTACAAATTCATGGACAAGGGAGACAATATAATTGAAACCCAGGGCTGCTAATACAATTTTGGAAAATGAGTGAGAGCACTAATTAGTACCAACGCTAATGATGTGGCAGTGGGTCACCCACTTTTTTTTTTTTTTTTTTTTTTTTTTTTTTTTTTTTTTAAGTGGATGCCATATCATTAGTGGTTGCTTTAGAGCACCACTTTTAATTGTCTCTATCATTGCCCTACAATTTTAAGGGCCGTCAGTAAGGAACACAAAATATCAAATTATTTAAAATCTTAGGTCTTATTTGACAATATCACTTTTTAGTTTAGAAGTTAAAAAGTCATTAAAAAAAATAAAAAAACCAATAACTTATACTAAAAAGTCAATGATTTTCTTTTCTCTCTACTTTTTGCACATCTTTTCGTAAAAAATTAAAAAGTCATCTCAAACGTACTATTCTTTTTACATTATATTTTTAGCCAAAAAACTAAAAGTTATTAAAAAATCTATTTCTAAACGAGGGCTTTGTATATTTTTCATACATTTCAAGTACTTTTACACGTTTCAAAACATTTTATTACAATATATATATACTAGCGTATATCCGTACCTAAAGGCACGGTGTAAATAATATTAAGATTAAAATGTAGTTATAAAAATATATTTAACAGACTGTACTCTACAATTTCAAACAAATCAAATATAAAAAAATTAAATATCAAATAATGCACACAAATCAAAAGAAATAAAAAAAAAACTCTACTATCATTAAAACATTGCAAAATCAATAAAACATTGTGATCCATTGACAAAGATTAAGGGAATAGAACACATGAAGCAAAACCTACATTATAGTCTCCTTTCTATGAAAAACCAGAAAAACCATTGATCTGTAAATTCCCCCCCTCCCCCCCCCCCAAAAAAAAGAGATTGAACAAAGAAAACCATACACAACGATTAAAAAAAAAAGACTGAAAATAATAAATTTCAAATTTTATCTTATATATCAAACAATTTATTTTTAGTTTAGTACTTAAATTTTGATCAAACAGCTTTTTAACTCAATAAATTTAACATTCAATTTTCAATACTTAATTTTTAATTTTCAACTTTATTAAACATTACCTAAGTCCAAACCTTATCATAAGACATAGAACTAAAGTCGGAAAATATAAGTAGAGTAATCTACCTAAAACTCTTATCTTTTATGTAGTAAGTTTGTATTTGTAAACTTGTTACAAATCTTTTATAGGTTAGGACAAATTACCGTGGGTAAAACTGATAGCTTGAACTGCCCTCAATTATGTATTCATTCGGTGAAAAGATGTTGCTATTGAGACTGGACCGACCGCAAGATTAAGCTTGAGTCTGCATAAAAACCCAATTCAAGTAAAATTAATACATTAAAGACTATCAAATCTTGTGAATTTAATAGTTTGATGAACTTAATTAGCAAGAAAAATAGAGTAAGGGTGTTGAATACTCACAGAGGCCGACTATAGGTGGTAAATTCGCAAGCTTTGAATAACTTATTCCCTGCAGTGTGAGATAAAATCGACATGAGATCTAGGAAAAAGGTATAGATTTTCTTCTTTGTTATATATTTTTCTAGGATAGTATATGACCTGATATGTGACATAGAACAAATAATTTTCCTAGTCATTTAGTTGTGTTTCTGTTTGTAGTTTTTTTGAAAAACGAAGACAATGAAAAATTCTAAAAATGGCCAACATTTTAATTTTTATGATTATATATACATATGAATACTCGAAAATAAGTACTTGTTTAGTTGTGTTTTCATTTTTTGTCATCTGTTTTTCATTTTTGGAAAAATACCCAAAAATGTGACATAAAACTGGATAAATATTTTCCTACATAGCCCTATTTGGTTATGCTTTTGTTTTCTTTGTTTTTCATGCTTTAAAAAAAAAAGAAAAGAAGGGACAATGAAATGTTAAAATAAAAAATAAAATAAAAAGTGGCTTTTTTTCATTGATAAGCAAAAACCGGCTGCTATGAAGAATGAATAATGCCCCTGCTCTCATGAGTCATATCCCCAGTTTAAGGTGAATACACAATGAAATCTATTGAAAATTCATATGCCAAAGATTAATGTTTAGGTAAATTAGAAAGAAATAGGATTTCTGGTGCAATATCTTTGTATGGCTTAATAGATTGAGGTGTTTCTATAAATGTTAAAATAAAAAATAAAATAAAAAAGTGGTTTTTTTCATTGCTAAGAAAAAACGGTTTACAAAAATTCGAAAAATAATTCCTAAAAAGTGGGTTTTGTTCATTACAAAAATTTAATTAAATAAAAAACAGTTCACCAACCAACCTTTTTATATTTGTTCAAAAAACAAAACACCAACCTTTTTACCTGTTTTTTGAAAATGACATTATGTGTCCGAGTGTCTCTGATTCTGAAGGCATGACGAAAACATCTCCGCTAGCGTATGCTTGAGAGAGCTCTTCATCTCCTAACATCCCTGTGAATACGGCAGGCATGCCGGAGAACAGCTTTTCCAGAACCTCCCTGCCACGAAGAAATCATTCTAGATGAATAAATTTTGCCCATGGTTCTTACTTGAAAATAAATTCAGGCGATCATCATGGCCCAATTTGTGTATCATTGGATGTAAGCAAAAGTATAAAAATAAATAATTCATTTCATTAGACAGCGGTTTGTGGTTTTTAATAAAAAGAATCATTTTATACTATATTCTATAGAGATTGTTCCGGCAATGTTGACAAAACTAAACAACCAATAAGTCCTTAGAGAAATACCTGTATGGTCCATCTCCAATAAAAGCAATTCGTGCCTCTGGTATCTGGTCCATGACACTGTTCAATCATACATCCCAAATGTCAATGGTTACAACTTATAATAATTATGAAAAAAGCATTATTCCGTCAATATTTTGCAAGTAATATTTCCTAAATTGCAAAAGCAGAAAATACTTATCATTTGAAATAAAAGAGTAGTACCTTTTGAGTAAATCCAAACTCTTCTTAACTCCTAGTCGTCCAACATGGACTATCAATGGTCTCGCGGGCTCCCCATTGCTGATTAAAAAAAGAACAATAAATTAACATTTGGAGGAAACTTATATTACATGGCAATGAAATTTTAAGGATTGAAAGAAAGCCATACCTTAGCCTTATTCGCATTTCTTGAGAGCGATATTTGGGATGGAAGCTTTCGGAATCAACACCCTTATTCCAAAGACGAATCTTGTTACCTGAAAATAAACAAAGAATTAACATGGATATGAGCTGCTATTTTCAGAGAAACCTTTGAAAAAAATAAAATAAAAATTCAAGCAGAAGCATAAATGTCAAATTCTGTTATGTGATCAATGTGAAATTTCAGAGAGTTGTCTATTGGGCAATGTTCATTTACCTGCTGTTACGCTAGCTGCTTCAAGCTCCTTTGCAAGGGCAGCTGATGGAACCAGTGTAAGATCAGCTGCCCTATGAAGAAACTCTATTAAGAGAAGAACAAAACTTTCATTTATTAGTTCACAAACACGAAAAGTCAGAATCCATGTGAAATTGAGGCTAGGAACAAAAGTTCACGTACTTATGACCCACCACATAGGTTTGACCAGCCAACTTAAGGTGTATCTTGGTATGTATTTGCAAGTCAAAATAGGAATTGGGTTCAACCCTTGTGGGGTGGCAAGGACACTGTGCAATTCCCATAGATGATATGAAAAAAATTTATTGATACAAAGAAATTTTGTTTGATAAAATTTGATATGTATCAGCAGATTTTATTTTATAACAAATCAAATGTTGATCAGAAATAAAAACTACATAGAGATTAAAGAGTGAACTTCGAAAGATGACTAATTTTACAAACATAGTGTACATGAATTTACAGAGATACTGTGTTACTTCGCATCACAATCATGATCAATATTCCCATATAGAAAGCTCAAGAAATTTGGAGCCAAGAGTCTTTACCTTTGGTTTGAGAAGAGTGAGTAAAGTGATCGACTTGAGATAAAAAGAGAATGGAAGCGAGTAGTTCCGACAATGTAAGAACCAATCTCTTGTAAACTCCCAATTCCAAATTTAAATCTCCACCTATGTTTAGCTTTTTTGAAGTGGTAGCATGATATTAGAGTAAAACAATTATGTATCGCCTCCCCCATCCTCAAGAGACCAAAAAATAAAGAAAAAGATACAGAATTTCCATATTAGCAAGTGCTGAAATTAGATATGTAATTACGAAGAAAACAATCTCCAGAAATAGCAGTTAAGGATCTGCAATGTTGAAGCTGTCTTTGAAACTAAAAAGATTGAAGCCCGTTTTGAAATAATTGAACCAGATATTCTATAGTGGTATCTCTGCCAAAGTTCCGGAAGCAAAAGATATTCCTCATAAGTTGCAGCAAAGGTGTCACAACAATCATCTCGATGAGGAGATGCATTTAGCTAAGAAAGAAGGTTTGGCAAATTACATTGATTTGCCTACTGTTAAAGAAAAATTTAAACGACAGAGATCAAGAGTGCAGCGGCTTGCTTTAGGTGACAGTATTACTAAGCTTTTTCATAAGAAAGTGGCTTCTCATATGATGAGTAACAAAATTCTCAACATTTCTAATGAGCAAGGCAACAGATTGGTGGAATGTAAAGCTATCAAGGAGAAAGTTGTTAGATTCTAAAAATACGCTGGAAAATAGTATCAATCTATAAAAAAATAAAATCTAGTACATAGTCACCACATAAAATGAAAAGAGTGATCTTACCTGGAGAGCAGCAGTTTCGGGAGCGAGGGTATGGAAGAAGAAGAACAGGACTGGAGAGCAGCAGAGGGAAAATTAGAAATTGAAAATTAAGTTTATGAAGATTTGTATGTTGGCAAATGTCTTTATTTGAAACACACAAAATTTATATGATACAAATGGAAGTGAAGCCGAAGAGAAGGAAAATATACCCAGTTAAATAGACATTAGACAAAAAAATAACACATTAATAACCAATTGGTGTTTATTTTCGCAATTCAAACTTAATGCAATCGCGCATGAATAGCCTTACCTTGGAGTTGGTTGCAATAGCCTGTATTAAGGTTGTGAATTAAATTTCTTAGTGGTATTAATTAATTAATTGTATTTCTATATTGATGGCTAACATATTTTGAATACAAAATAAGAACCTAACATATTATAAGTTTGGAAAAAAATAAAGAGGTGCAAAGATTAATCCCGAGATTGTTTTTTTGAATATGTAGAGCAGATTGAATATGTAGAGCAGATTGTTTGGCTAACATATTGAACCAGATATTCTATAACGGGCTTCAACTTTGGCTAACATATTCACCTTTTTTTGAATATCTAGAGCAGATTTTTTGAATACAAAAATAAAGCAGATTTTAAAATAAGGCAGATTGTTTGAATACAAAATAAAAAAATCAAACTTTGAATATTTTCATAATATTCCTTTAAACCATGGTTGCTATATCCACCAAAACTATTCCTTTAACATAACCTATGACCACCAAAACATTCAACTAAGAAGTATTCCTTTAACATAACATAATTTGTTTACATAATTCTGAAGATTAATCCTGTTTATCACTCTGTTTATCATAACATAACATAATCTATTTCTTTGTGGTTTGTTTATATAAACATTCAGAAAATTAATCCCAAAATAATTCTAAAGATTAATCACTCTGTGTATCACTCTATTTATGTTAAAGGAATAGTGTTGGTTGTCATAATATTCAGAAAATTTATATAAACATTCAACTAAGAAGTTTTAAACCATGGAGACAAAATAAAAATAGAGCAGATTGTTTGAATAACCTGAAACCAACATTTGAATAACCTGTTCACAGCCCGATAGAGAGAACGCAGAACAACCCAAGAAATCGCGAGAAAGTGACAGAAAATAGCAGAAAAATAGGGATCTGATAAACGACCTCAGAACTCAGAACTCAGAAATTAACAGTATATCAATTGAAAGATATAGAGACAGAAATATTACCTTGCACAGATAGAAGACTCAGGTTTGGTGTAACTCTGAAGTAGCTCTACCGAAGAGCTCCAATCGAGGTTCAGAAAGGTATCGCGGTTCTTAATCGGAAACCCGGGTTGCAGAAGGGTAGAGGGAGAGGCATCGGGTGGAGGGGGAGAGGCAGCGAGCGGGCAAAAGGGTGGGGGAGAGGGAGAGAGGCAGCGAGCGGAAGGGTGGGGGGAGAGGGGGAAAGGCAGAGATCGGGTGAGAGAGAAGGAGAAAGATAAAGAAGAGGAACAAAGAGGGAGATAGAGATAAGGAGGGAGTGGGAGAAGACATGCAACAGAGAAGAGATAAAGATGGAATGGAGAGGAGACGTGGGTAAGTGGGAGAGAGCACCGAGTGTTTGGGCGGGAATTGAAGCAAAATCTCAACCATTGATGTGTATCCCAATTGATTTGAGCCCTTAAAATGAAATGTATCTCACATACATTTTATACATTTTCAAAAACCTTCCTCCCTTATTATATAGATAGTAGTTTAATTTTTTTCTTTTCACATTTGTGGGGCTTAATTATTCTATAGGCAAAAGGAATTAATTATCTAGAGACTTTAAAATGGAAATGGCTCAGTGAACTCGTTTGGCATACAAAAACAATAAATAAAGGAATAAATAAACTCAACAACCATACCTGATCACTTGCTTCTCTAAAGTATTTGTTTAACCAATTTTACTTGATCACTTGCTCTCTAAAGTGTTTGAGACAACTATATGGAGGTTAGTGGACAAAGCTGTAGTGGTACATTGGCAGTGAAAAGAGTAGTGAGTTCTACATGGATAACAGAATGCTTTAGACATGGAACAAACATGCATTATGGTCCTAAAATTTTCCATAAACTACAGACTACCTCAAGATGCATTATGGTTCAACAAAAATTTTGTTTTTTTTTTCTTTTCAAAGAGTAGGGAGTGAATTCACAGGAAGAAAAAAAATTCTTAAACGAAGACATGGAACTCAATACACCAATTTATAGAAAATTCAACCAAGCACTTCAACCAAATTCAGAAAACACCAACTTTACCAGCGCTTCAACTATGCCCTCAAAAAATCATACACATACAAAAAATTATACCTGAAAGAAGTCAGCAAACCCTATACCAACACTTCAAACTGCAAAATTATGAAATTGAACAAAGAAAATCAGCGAACTTGATACCAAACTTGAACATGCGAACTAAATTACTCAATTACTCAAAGGGAGAAAGGGAGAAAAAGAGAAATCAAATTACCTTTGAACAGCGGTACAACGATGGTGTGGTTGTGGCTGGAACAAAGAAATCTATGAAAGGAGAGCCAAATTTCACAGCAAAATCATGAAATTGAACAAAGACATGAACAAATGTCAGCAATCTTAATACCAAACTCGATAGTTTCCTAAATGAAGACATGAAACTCAATACAGCAAATAAACTCAAAATTCAGAATCCAAATTCATAAAATTTATAGAAACAGAGCATTTCAACTAAGCCCTCAACTTCATAGTAAAACAATGCAACCCCAAAATAGCAAAACAGCAAAATCATGAAATTGAACAGCGGTACCAAATTCGAATAGCAAAATCATGAAACTCGACGATTATGAAATTACCTTTGAACAGCGGTACAGCGATGATGTGGTTGTGGCTGGAATAAGGAAATCTGGGAAAAGAGAGCCAAATTTCACAGGAAAATCATGAAATTGAACAAAGACATGAACAAAAAAATTCATACACATACAAATGTCAGTGATCTTGATACCAAACCTGACGTTTTCCTAAATGAAGATATGAAACTAAATACACCGAATAAACTCCAAATTCAGAACACAAATTCAGAAAATTATAGAAATAGAGCACTTCAACTAACCTCTCAACTTCAACTAAACCCTCAACTTCATAGTAAAACAACAAAATCATGAAATTGAACAGCGGTACCAAATTTGAACAGCAAAATCATGAAAAAAATTATAATAACTAAAAAAATCCCACAATAATAATAATAATAATAATAATAATAATAATAATAATAATAATAATAATAATAATAATAATAAATTAGATGAAACAAAAAAAATTGGAGATTTACTATTTCACAACAATCCAAATCCAACAATTAAAAAAAAAAACAAAAACTTCAAATTTGAATGAAAAATATAGTAAAATATTCATTCTACAATATAAATGCTCTGAAAGTTAGAAAATACTAATAATATAGTAAAATATTCATTCTGCATCAAATTATAGTAGGCTAGTAGCTAAATGTAATATATGGTTTCTTTCATGTAACTTCAGTGCATAATCACAAAAAAGCATGCTACAATACTTAGACTACATCCAATAAAGGTGTCTAATATTGTCCAGAACTATGTAAACTTTTCTTCTTCTTCTTCTTCTTCTTTTTTATTTTTTATTTTTTATTTTATTTTAATAACTGAGAACGAATCCTAGCAGGGCCCTTTGAAACAAATCAATTCTGTGAAGATTCTATTCACTAACCCTTTCAATGGTGCTACAAATTCCCATTTCTGAGGTTTAGAGATATGCATGGATAAGGATGCTAAACAAATCATTTTTTCCCATTACAACCAGTTCCGTGAAACAAATCAAATAGCTTGCTAATCAAACACACCTAGGCCAACAAATCAAACAGCTAGGCCAACAACCAGTTTGCAAAATTAGATAGAGAGCTTGCTAATCAAATCAAACAGCTTGATTAGCAAACAAACACACCTAGGCCATTTTTGTAATGGGAAAAAATCAAACAGCTTGAAAGAGATATACTGGATATGATTCCCTCTCACCTAGCAAACTAAAAATGATTGTAATGGGAAAAAATGATTTGTTTAGGGAAAAAGGGATTGTAAACAAACACACCTAGGCCAACGACCAGTTAACAGAAGCTGTTTGATTAGCAAGCCAAAAAATAGAGAGAAAAAATGACCTGTAAACAAATGACCTGTAAACAACACCCTAAAATAAGTTGAAACAATCAAGCACAAAAGCCTTGAACGTGATAGTTGGGCAGCAATACAATATGAAAAACATATCAATGCCCGATATTCGCTAACAAAAACACTTCTTCAACCCATTTGATCAGCATTGATCATAACATTAATCTTATAATCATAAACTTTCAGCTAAAATTGTGTCATATATATATATATATATTAACGCTCTAGCCTAATGTAATATAGAGAAGGAAAAAAAAGGTATAGAATTGTATTTCAAAATTCAAACTGAAATAAAAGGAATAAATGTTTTAGAAGAAACCATAACTCCCATTGTCGAAAATTTGAAACATCAAATCAAAAAAAAAAAAAAAACAATCAAAATCAGAACCAATCTGGAGCAACACAAAATTGACAACAATGATGTAACAAAAACAGAGGGCAAGATCGATGAATAGCTGTAATCCAGATACAAAATTAAACAAACCCAGATCACAAAATCATCAAAGAAAACATAGAATCAAAGAACAGAGAGAGAATTGATGATTTACCCTTATTCCTTTCATGAGCATCGTTGGCTCTTTTGGAATGAATGAGGCCATCAGAGAGATACCCAATATCGAGAACGCTATGTTCGCCATTGCATGCAATCAAATTGCCAGTGCTCTTGCTCTTCCCGATTGATTCATCTTCTTTCTGTGTCAAAATAGTAACCCCTAAAAGCTTCAAACACCCTTTCCTATTTCCATTGAGAAGGAGGGTTGCGGAGGACTGGAGAGGCAGACACAGCCCGACAGAGAGAGAAGGGGAGAGGCAGAAATCTTACCTTGCAAGCCGAGTTCGAGAGGCAGAAGGAGTTGCTGTCGGTGGAGATCGGAGGAGAGAGAAGATCTGAGATCTGAGATCTGGGAGGGAGAAAAGATGAAGAGTTGTTGTCGGTGGAGTTCGAAGGCAGCGCAAAGGTGGAAGCGGAGCGGCAGTGGACAGGAGGAGGAGGGAGAGGAAGAGAGAGAGATCTCTGAGGAGAGAGAGATTGACACCTGAGAAGTCTGAGAGAGAGAGAGAGAGAGAGAAGTGCAAATAATGTTTGGGTTTGTCGTGGGTGGGTGGGACACTGCAGAGAGAGGCAGAAAGGGATTGTTTTGGGCGGAAATGCGAAAATATCACAAAGCATCTCAGCCTTTAATGAATAAAAACAAATTATCTCAGCCGTCCAGATTAAATGTATCTCGCAGACATTTGTATATATTTTCAAAAACCACCTTCTCTTCTTATATAGACATATATTTGGAAATAGTGAGAGCTTCTCAACCATGGCACTAGGGTTTGCACGTGCTTGTTCAGCTTTGTCTCTCATCACTTCGTCATTTGCCTCTGAAATGTGCATTCGCAATCGATGGGGGTACACTCACTGTAAATCACTTCAATTTCTTTGTTCTTTGTTCTGTAATTTCATTTTGTTATGGTTTTTTTATTTTTATTTTTATCAATTCAATCGTGTTAATCCATTGGATTGTATGCACTTACTCTTTACGAGACTTCATTATGATTCGCTGGTCAAATTTACTATTAAAGAATAATTTAACAAAAAATATTTTTTTTTGAATATATATCACATTATTTAGGAGTTGTTTGTGATGACCTAAATTAGTGCACTTTTTGTTTTTTTACGAAAAGATGTATAAAAAAGTAAAGAGGTGATGTGATAAAAAAAAGATAAAAAGATGGATTATTTTGTAGTAACCAAACTTGCCTTTACTAGTGTTCGCTTTGTTAGAAACTAATATGAGATCAACTTGAAATTAATGTAAATAAATAGAATTTAAATATATTTTAAAATTCAAAAAAAAACTTGAACAACATAAAATGACAAACAAATTAAATCTTATGATACTTTTTAAAAATTTTGGGTTAGCTTTTTTAATGAAAATTATGCAGATGACCATCACATGCCAAATTTGTAGGGTCAAAAAACTTGAACATATCTTTACCTGTTTAGTTTTAATTTTATTATTACGTTTAAATGATCGTATATTTTTTTGTTCTTGTTTTTTTGTTTTGTTGCAATATTTATTTATTTAGTTATAGGACTAACATGTGTTAAAACATCCAATTTGAAGGGAAAGACTAAATTAAAATATGAAATTAAATCTAAAATTTAAAATTTGAAATAATAATGATCAAAGTGAAATTTTGATCAAATTATAATAATAAAAAATTTAATTTATCCATTCAAATGAAATAATGGCCCCGTTGGTAGAGCTGTGGGAAAGTGATTATAAGTTATAGCCTAACAGCTTATAGCTTATAACTGTGAACATAAGCTGATTTTTGACTTATAAATTAAGTTTCTTCTCCCTCACTCAAAGAATAAGTTGATTTTTGACTTACAAAAAGCTATAAGCTGTATTGTTAAGCTGAATCAAACATATCAAAATAGCTTAAATTAAGCTAAAAGCTGAAATAAACTGAAAAAAGCCCTACCAAACAGGGCCAATATCACAAAGAACATTCCAACACATCTCTCAAAAAAAAAGAAAAAAAAAGAAAAGTGATTTGAAAATGAACTGTGCAAATTAGATTATGGCTTTATTTATCATAATTTAAAAAAGTTAAAAAGTCATTATTATATTTAAGTCACGTCATCTTATTTAAGTTATATTATCTCTTTATCATATTACTTTAAACTTAACTCATATTTTATAAAAAGTCAAGAAGTATACTTATTTAAATCATTTCAAACCACTCTTGTATTTTATTAATTATTGAAGATTCAGATGTAGTATGTGATATAATTCTCTAATTTTGAAATTTTAATTAAAATCTAATAATATAAAAGAGAATAAAAATATTAAAATACATAAAATCAAGTGAAATCTACTCTCATTAAAGCCCGTTAGAATTCTTCTATTAGAACTCCGAATGATTTTTCATAGAAGAAACAACTTGATTACAATCAACAAACGTGAATGGGGGAAAACTACAAGAATGAAGTTTTGATGGACAGCCACTGCAGAAGCACATCTTATCATGGGCCCAACCATGGGAAAATCGCAGATGTAAGAACCATGGCATCCAAACTTCTCATAGTAATTCTTGCAGTCTCCATCAAACTCACAGATGAAATTAATGGGCTTCAACCACTGCAAGAGGGGAAAATTATATAAACACATTATATTCCTTTATGATAGGCTAAAAGAATTATTTGAAGGCCTTTTAGGGACCAAAAAAGTGAAAGCTTATGTTGATATGAGCACTTGACGGGCGTGTGTGAGGTAGGTAAAAGTTGGAGACCAATTTATTTAGTTGCTAAAGGTTGAACAGACCAAATAAAATCATCCTTTTGCGTGTCTCTACAATCGATCTCAGCTTCAATTGATGTTCAGCTTTAATCCTCATACTAGAATTGATTTTCACCTCATATCAGAATGGATCTTTTTACTGATCTTCAGCTTTGAGAGAGAGATTTCTTAATCTGGCTCCGGACCGTGGTAATGACCGGGCTAAAATTGGGCCGAGCATGTTCTGGGCCGAGCTGGGCTGGGCCAATCCAAGGGGAGTTCGCTCGGTTAGAGTCCAGGTCCGATTTGGCCAGGATAACTTCTCTGCCAGCCGGGTTCGCGTTGTTTTGCTCGTTAAGATCGGTGTGTAAGATCCTCCGCAGACTGGCCCAACCGAGCAAGAGCATGGTTCGCATTGTTTGCTCGTTCAGATTGACATGCAAGATCCTCCGCAGATCGGCCCAACCGAGCAAGAGCTCGATCATAATGAAGGGCTGCTAAGCTTGGTTGTAACGGAGCTCGGCTAGGAGCATTACATGTCTTGAAAGTAATACGGTCGTAGGAAGATGGGGTAGCACCGCTAGGCTGTCCGTTCGCGCCAACGCTGTTCGGCAGTTTGGTTAGGTGGTGTTTAGCTGTATTTGCGTTGACACGTGGGGAAGTGGGATAGGAGAGCAGGTCCACGTGTCAAAGGGGGAATGGACGCAGAGGTAAGCGCAGAAAGTATATAAACGTGATTGCGCCGCCCATGCGGGAATGGAACATCTTCTATAAGAAAAACACTAACACATTGTCCTCTTTCTTTTCTCTCTGTGTGGGAGCTGACTTGACCATCGGAGGGGTTTTCTGGCGAGGCATCGCCGGGTAGCTCACCTTCATTGTGTTCGCAGGTCGATCGGAGGAAGGCGCAGCTTGGACGCGAGGAGTACGGGTGGTATCGAATATTTGCTCCCCGTACAATTGGCGCCGTCTGTGGGAAATTTGAGCAGACACAACCTTGCCCTCCAAGCTCATCGGATCACCTTCCATGGCAAACAATGATGAAGTACCATTGTTTGCCATTGACGGTATTACCCTGGAGTCAGTCCGAAGGAGAGACGGACTTCCCACCGTTCCGAACATGGCAGGCCTGGAGACTTCCCCAGGAGGGTTTCCTAGAGATGCACGAGATAAGCGCACTAGGAGCATTGGTCATTCGCGGAGTCCAGATGGACATCGGCGGTGAAGAGAGTCGCACGCTCAACGCCTGGAGCACAAGTTGAGGGACCAAGACGCCGTCATCCAGAGAATGGCAGCAGAGATGGAAGCTCTCAAACAGCAAGTCAAAGGAAAGGGTGTTGTTGGAGTGGGTGACCACAGTGAGCGCACCTAACCCCGCCGCTCAGGCAGCCAGAACCAGTGGCACACGCCCTCTCTTTCCATCACTAGAAGCTATGGGGTTAGAGACTCAAACTCGTCTGTAGAGAAGTCTAGCACGCAAGATAGTAGCTACCATCCCTCACGTCCGCCAATGACATCGAGATATTCCTACTCCGCTCATTCGAAGGACTTGAGGGACGTCTTAAAGGAACGAGCTTGCCGATGGGAGGTCCAAAGGGTGCCAGCGCTCCAGCGGTTATCCTACGGAGGTCATGCCAATGAGGAAGTCATAATGCCACCACCCCGTTCAGCCATGCCTGTTCCTTTGGACAAAGATTTGACGAGGCTGAGAGCCACTTCCTTCTCCCTTGAGATAGAGACCACACCGTTCCCAGCGGGCTTTCACCAGCCCAAGTTTACGCTTTACGAAGGGAAAATCGATCCGTACATGCATGTAAGCCACTTTCGGCAGGTCATGGCTGGATACAGGCGTAATGATGCTCTCATGTGCCTTATTTTCCCATCGAGTGTGGGCGAGTTGGGCTTGAAATGGTTTGAGAGGCTTCCGGAGGAAAGCGTCAACAGGTGGCAGCAGTTGGTGAAAACATTCGTGACTCGATTCAAAACCAACACCAAAACGCCAAAGGAAGTGGACCACCTCCTGAGCGTCAAGATGGAGTCGAGAACTCCTTCAAAGCATACGACGCCAGGTATTGGGAAACCTTCAACAAGATCCTAGATTACCCGACCAACCTGGTAATCACCTAATACAAGCGTAGTCTCTCGGTCGGACATAGACTAAGGGACTCGCTCACAATGAAGCAACCGACTTCCATGGGGTAGCTGATGTAACGCATCAATGAGCACATCCGAGTAAAGGATGATGAGGCGGCGTCCACCGCGAAGACAAATCTCGTGGTAACGGACAAAAGGGTGGCTGGAAAAGTACATGCGGTCGGACATGAGGCAAACCGTCCAAATGACCGCGCAAGGGAATCTGACCGTGGTCCGGATCGTAGAAACCGGGGTAAAGGTCGCCGCAATGACCGAGCAGATTATCCCCGCAATGACGCAACAGATGCAAACAGAAATTTGAAAGCTCGGACGAGCATCACCATGGTTTTTAAAATACCAATCTACCACATACTTGGTGAAATCCGCAACGAGGTTTACGTCCGGTTTCCCGCTAAGTTAGGCGGCATTATCGCTGCACATTTCATAGGGAACGAGGGCACCAGACGGAGGACTGTTTGCCCCTGAAGCAGCACTTGGAGGAGTTAGTCACAGCCGGTCACTTGGACCGTTACATCGATGAGGGCGTTAGGGGCCGCGCACCAGTTGAGCCAAGTGGTTCGGATGACCTACCCAAGAAGTGGTCAATGTGATCCATGGTATAGTAGAGCCGGCACGGGTATGCGATCTCTGAGGGATGATCAAAAAGGCAGAACATATGAGGG